TATCACCCAATTCAGGGCCCTCATAACCTATTCAGGACTAGGGGGCCCCTACATGTACTCCCACAGTACACACTGTTCATTGAGCCTTCGAATAAGACACTCGAAGAAGAGCTGGATCAGCTGCTCGTGCCCAACCTGCGCGGCAAGGTCTTGTCGTCCAATGGGGGGTTTAGGGTTTAGGTTTAGGGAACCTTAAACCCTGATCACGCTGTTGGCGCTCTAGGTTTTGGGGCTCTGGGGAATTCTCTGAGCTGTTGGAGCTAGAAGCTTTGCTCGAAGGTCATAGCTACGAGTAAAAATATTATAAGTAAACTAGCCTACGACGTAACGCGCGATCACCTGAAATAAGGCACTTATGAACCTTAAAGTAGGACAAAACGACATGATTTCCTACCAGAGTCATGGGTTTCAAAATTTAACCACAACCGGAAAAGCTCTTGTGTTGAATTCTAGTCGTGGCTTACGGCTTGGGGCTCTTTTTGGGTACTGCTACAGATGCTGCGGCTCACAACAGGAAGCCCATACAAGGGACTATAGCTTAGAGAACTGACCATTTGGCTCAGCTCAGGCTTCGAAGGAACCCGCGTAGAGGAGCCTCAGTTACCAATAGATCCTCCTCTGCGAAAGCCCTACTTAGTTGTCCGGTTAACCTTTGGGAATACAAGGGGATTATAGTACCCCAAAAAGGTTAAAGGTTTACCTACTCTACTACTAGGCCTATACCAATGCAATATGACATGCTCAAGAATCAGTACCCATATTGACACTTCACATTTAGACCTTAAAGCTTTAAACTCTTTAAACCCTGAAACCCTGAAACCCTTAACCCTACGCTTCCGATATGCCCCGACTAAAGAGGCAAATGATGGGGGCAGGCGGCCAGGGCCGCGACGCCGAGGGGTGAGATGCCAGGCAAGTCAGCATACAAGCGCGTCATCATGTTGCCTCATTCGGGCGGGGCGGGGTGGGTTCAGTTTAGGATCGCAGGGCCGTAGTACCATACAGTTACTTAGTGACTCTGAAGGCTTGCTGGGGTCTCGGGATGTTGCTCTTCGGCTTCCTGTGAAAACAACTTCAGATGATGCTTTGGGTACGAGCATGCCATCCACGACAACTGCCAACTTTCCGAGCTGCAGTTTGAATATCCGAAGACCGCTGTTCGGAGACGAGCTGTTCGGGTTTTCCAAAGAAGGTTTCTTGGCGGCCTGTAAGGCAAGTTGACATCAGCGCGATGTGCCAAAAGCAGCTTGGCAGTCTCGACCGCCCTGCAGTTGCCGCGCGAAAGCAATGCGACAGCATGCAGTGGGCGTGAAGCCTTGCTGGGGTCGCAGCGGTACGAGATAAGAGCTTGAACTGTATCCGCAGAGGCGAAGGACGCAGCGCCGCTCAACGTATCATGTGAAATCTCTGCACGATGTTCCACAAGTGTCTTCACATGCTCGGGTGTTCGGCAGAAGTATAGCGCCTGCAGGCCAGTTCTACCGCGGGCATTGACATCAGCGCGAAGTTCGAGGAGTGTCGTGAGGACTGCAGCATCCTGCCGCGACTTCGCTGCTGCCATGAGGGCCGTCTGCTTATCGAAGTACCCAAGACTGCTCATGCCTTCGAGGGCGTGGTTCATGTTTGCACGGCTCTCTGCCAGCAGTCGCAGAGTGTGGGCGTCGCCAGAGAAGACTGCGCACATGACCTTGCTTGTCTTGAGATGTGAAGTTAAGCCTGTTTACACCATACAGTCACATGCATGCCTTACCCTAAATTTTCGTTGTTTCGTGCAGTAGTCAGCATTCATCAAAACCGTTCAAAACCAACGTGAACAGCAATTCTCAAGCGCAGCCTCGTGGCTGCATTCATGCCGGTGTCGTCCTCCACGGCTTCTCTCAAGTTGGCAAACTGGAAGTGTCGCAGGAATTCGTCCAAGTGTCTCCATTTCCTCTGCCGACGCAGGAGGTTCGGGCTCAGGGCTGCCCAAAAGCGGTAGTGGGATAAAGGGCCTTTCTCTTGCAAGTGCCGGATCTTACCTTCCACGGCCACCTCACCCAGTCGGACGACCTCTGCGCGGTCGGCTTCAATAGTGAAATCCCCATCCACAATGCCTCAGACGAGTCTTTCTGGATCGGAGAGCACTACGGAAAAGGCAGGGGGTTTAGGGGTTTAGGGTTTAGGGTTCAGGGCTTTGCGTTTAGGGTTTAGGGTTCAGGGAGCACGTCTCCTAACGCCCTCTGAGGTGCTTCTGTTCTGCCAGTCCAGTGGGAACATAAACTCGGCGTCCGTGGCAGAGTACACAACAATGACAGAGGTGTCGGACTTGCTTGACAGAAGTCGGCACCACAACTCAGCACGGCACCACCTCCACCGTTGCCAGAAGACCCCACATGACACTTCTTTGTTAGCAGCCCGACTTAAACCCCTGAACCCTGAAGGCACGATATAGGCGATATAGGTTGCCGTAATATTGCTGCAGAACTCGCCATGAAACTTCTCAAGTAGAGCACCCCAAAACATCCGAACCCTGTAAACCTACGCCCCTAAGCTCTTTCCGATTCGAGGGCGCCCTCTCGACATCCACGTGGCGTAGTTCCTCGGCCAGTGCGGGGGAAGTGAAAATAGTAAAGATATAAACCCTAAACCCTAAAATTACAGTATTGTGATATCAGCAACCGGAGTATCCCATTTCATCTATTTGTGGCATCGGGGGGCTTAGGGAGAACTGTGCGCTCAGCTCGTGCGAAGACGAAGGGCTACAGCGGCACTAGGTTGACCTTTGGGGTTTCTGAGTGGTTGCTACCTCAGAAGGTTTTGGTGCAGGCTTTAGGGTCTAGGGGGGTTTTGAGTCTTAAGTGAGTTATGACGTCTGACATGGGTACTCGACAAAGGGAAAAGCAAAAGTTTCCAATGACCCCAAAGAATCACGTGCCGACCCGAATCTTTGTGAGACAGCTCGGGCACCAACGCCAGGAAGAGATTGCAGAGCTCCACCTTAAGCATTTGGGGAACCAGAAGGCTCCCTAAGCCCTTCGGGGTGGGTTTAGGGTTTAGTTTAGTGCTTGGGGTTTCTGGGGTTGTTTGGAAGGGTTAGGATGTAAGCTGAATTCCGGTGCCCCCGAGGTGCATAGGCTGGAATGCTCTGAACCGCCAGAGCCGCGTCGGTCTTCGTGGCCTCCTCATTGACTCCGGGCATCCGAGCTGTGATTTGAGGGATCGCGAACCTCAGTAGGCAAGCCACCATATTATGATGAGGGAACCCACAACCCTATGAGGAACCGTGAGGTAGGCCTGCCACCAGGTTGTACTGAAGGTGCCCTTATTGGGGGTTTCTTTCAAACAAGGGAGCCCAGAACCCAATAAGCGCCAAAAGGGGGCACCGCTGGGGCTAATTTGCCAAGGAGCCAGTCGAGGAAGAGAAACCCGCCGGCGATCTGTTGCCGAGTGCCAGGCGACAGGCGCTTCTCGTCGTGGCGAGACGCACTGTCTTCTGTAATCTCCAATGTCCCGTCAATCACCCCACCAAGCGTCTCCCGCAGAACCTTCATCTGCTCGCCCTGGGGGTCCGGATGCGCAGAGCTGAGCCACTGGTGCGAAACGAAGATCACGAACATGCCCGGCTGAAATTGGTGCAGCACGCCCTTCTCCTGCAGTTTGCCGTGGGGCTCCGGGGGGCCGCGCATCTGCATGAAATCGGACACCTGCCCACTACCAACTACGGCAAACCCTGCTACACCTCCCATGCAGGGGGATTGCACAAATCACATTCACCCCGGCCCTGCCGCCAATCCTACTTCGGAAATGGGTAGGAACGGCGAAGGCTACAAGCTCAAAGCTTATAGTACAGGGGCCGATTCAAGTCGAACGGGTCTTCAGGGCAGCTTTACATCGCCATGTCCTGAATGAAGGAGCTACAAGGGAAGATCTTTGGTAATTCTTGTGTTGCGGGCTTTGGGGGGGAGGGGGAGGGGAACGGCTGCGGCAAACCGCCTTGACAGCCCACAAGGGGAAGTAGCAGTCATGCACGCTGGTCTGCGGGCCGCCGGTGGGCGGCTCACTCTGCGTGCACAGGGAGGCTCCCATGGCTTTTCAGGCTGTTGGGTTTGGGCTTTTTGGGGTTGTGGGGTTGAGGGTTCTAGGGGTTCGGGCCAGGGTTCAAGGTTGGAGGGTTTTAGGGCTTTAGGGCTTGTAGGGGCTTATGATTCTAGGGGTTGGGGGGTTAGGGCAGGGTTGAGGATTTAGGGGTTCCCTAATCCCTAACCCCGAAACCTTTTAGGCTTGAATGGTTTTAGGGGTTGTGGATGGTTTGGGTCGTGGGCTTCCGGGGCTTCAGGCCACCTGGAGTTGCCAGCTAAAGCATAGAAACACTCACCATGCGTATGTGTATGTGAATGTGTATATATATATATATGTATATATATATATATATGTGCTCACCCCCCCCCCCTCGACAGACCCCGGAAGCAAAAAAAGGGCTGAGGGCGCGACGGACAGCATAGCTGCACACAGTAGCCAGACACGTTAACACACAATGGAGCATATTTTTTTCGATTAGTACGGCTTTGTGTTCGCAATGAAAGATGCAGACAGATGTGAGAAGGACGCATGCTGTAAGGACCTGAACAATTTGCTCGACATCGTGGATTGCTATTAATTTTAATAAGATTGCTCTTAGTTTTACTTGGGTTCCTATTAAGTTTATTAGGATTCATAGGCTTCGTATGAGTTCAATAGGAATCCTATTTAAATCAATAGGAACCCCATTAAAATGAATGAGAACCCTATTGAAATTAAGACGAGTCCTTTTTGAAAACTTAGTAAGAATCCTAGTACAATTAATAAGAACCTGGTTGAAATACGTAGAAGCTCCTATTAAAATTTCTTGGCGTCCTAAATTCAGAGGAACCATAGGAAGGCCATTCAAATGAATAGGAACCCTTTTGAATTCATAGGAATGCTATTAAAATTAATAGGAACCCTACAAAAGAATCTATGAATTCTTTTTAAGAGTAACAGGAATCCGTGTAACATGAAGATGAATCCTATTAAGGATTAAGAGGAGCCAACAAAATTCTATAAAAAAAGTAATGTGGACCCTTGAAAGCTTAAAACAATAAGAGTCGTACTGTTAGAATTATAATAAACCCTATTAAAACATTTAATTAACAGGATTGCTAATAAAACAAATGAGAGTTACAATAACATTACTTCGAGTCCAATTGAAATGAATAGGGAACAGGATTTAAAACCATAATCGGAGCACTGTGGAATCTAGTCGGAATCCTATGAACATTATTCGGAATCCTGTCAACACGAATGAGAAACCCTGTTAAAATGAATACGAAGCCTATTCCAATTAATCAGAAGCCTTTTTGAATGAATAGGAAGCTTGTCAAAGCAAAAGGAACCCAATTAGAAATTGTAAGACATCTTATGAAAATGAATAAGAAGCCTATTGAAATTAATAGGAATATGTATAAAGTTTGTTATGAAGCTTATTAAAATTCCAAGACTTTTATTAAAACTAACTAGGAAGAAGAATGCTATTACAATTACTCAGAATCGTATTCCAATTATTTGGCATTTGATTAAAATGAATAGGAATCAGTATTAAACCCAATAAAGTCCTTTAACAGGCATCCTTTAAAATCTAATACGAACCCCATTAAACAAATACAGGAATCCCATTGCCATTGAAGATCACTTAGAATGCTAGTAAAATGATTAGGAGTCTATTAATTAAATAAGGACTCCCGTTAAAAGTGAACAGGAGTATTCTTGAATTTAATAGGCAGCCTAAAACATAATAAGGGATCATATAAGAACCCCTGAAAATCTCTTATCAAAATCCAGTTTCAAAACATCCAAAAATCCAAACATCCAAACATCCACCCCAAAGGTTTGGATTTTTGGAAACTCGAGCGGGAGGCGACATGTGTGTGTGGGCAGAAGCGCAGCATCAAGCACTTTTCCTCGCACTTCCGTAAGCAACTCCAGTAGCTGTTGCTAGCATAGCTCTCTGTGTTTTTAATATGTTTCATATTTCTCATGAGTGTAGAACCCCTAAAAGAATCTCACCAAAACCTGAGTTTCCAAAAATCCAAAAATCCAAAAATCCCAACCCAAGTTTCGGGTTTTTGGAAACTCGAGGAATTTGCTCAAATCCAAAAAAAACCAAAATTCCTCGAGTTTCCAAAATTCCAAAAATCCAAAAATCCCAACCCCAGTTTCGGATTTTTGGAAACTCGAGGAATTTGCTCAAAATCAAAAAAAACCCAAAATTCCTCGAGTTTCCAAAATTCCCAAAATCCAAAAATTCCACCCCAAGGTTTGGATTTTTAGAAACTCGAGCGGGAGCCTCGAAATCCAAAAAAACCCAAAATTCCTCGAGTTTCCAAAATTCCAAAAATCCAAAAATCCCAACCCCAGTTTCGGATTTTTGGAAACTCGAGGAATTTGCTCAAAATCCAAAAAACCCAAAATTCCTCGAGTTTCCAAAATTCCCAAAATCCAAAAATTCCACCCCAAGGTTTGGATTTTTAGAAACTCGAGCGGGAGCCTCGAAATCCAACAAAACCCAAAATTCCTCGAGTTTCCAAAATTCCAAAAATCCAAAAACCCCAACCCCAGTTTCGGATTGTTGGAAACTCGAGGAATTTGCTCAAAATCCAAAAAAACCCAAAATTCTCGAGTTTCCAAAAATCCGAAACTGGGGTTGAGATTTTTGGATTTTTGGAATTTTGGAAACTCGAGGAATTTTGGGTTTTTTTGGATTTTGAGCAAATTCCTCGAGTTTCCAACAATCCGAAACTGGGGTTGGGGTTTTTGGATTTTGGGAATTTTGGAAACTCGAGGAATTTTTGGTTTTGTTGGATTTTGAGCAAATTCCTCGAGTTTCCAAAAATCCGAAACTGGGGTTGGGATTTTTGGATTTTTGGATTTTGGAAACTCGAGGAATTTTGGGTTTTTTTGGATTTTGAGCAAATTCCTCGAGTTTCCAAACATCCGAAACTTGGGTTGGGTTTTTTTGGATTTTTGGAAACTCGAGGAATTTTGGAGTGGTGCTTTTCCCCCCGCCCCCTTCCTGAACAGACCGGAAATATTCTTCCGGGGTCTGTCGAGGGGGGGGGGGGGGGACCATATATGTATATGTATGCCGTATAGAGACAGTAAAAATGTAAATTCACCCAAATTTTTCAATCAAGCATGCCGTGCAATAAGTGCCCTAACCCGTAAACCCTAAACCAGCAACCCTAAACCCTAAACCGTTGCGCGTTAGTCTCCGTCTCTTGTTAGGGGGGGGGGGGGGGAGGCAGGGAGGAAGATGCCCCAAAACCATTAGCGCTCCAACCCGCGCACATAGTCCGGAACAGTCCAACCCTAAACCCTAACCCCTACACCCTAAACCCTAAACCCTAAACCCTAGACCCTAAACCCTAAACCCTAAACCCTAAACCCTAAACCAAAAGCCTCCTTTTGACAACGCTTGCTGCCCGCCCTTCAGGGCTCGATGCCTCGAAGTTCGGGAATCAGAGGCCCGAAGAAGAACAAACCATAATCCACTCCCCCTAATCTTAAACCCCCCCTACCCCCTAGCATGAATACCCCCACGCCCATATACTATAATATGACTATAAATTGGGGGGGTATGTATATAATATTAGGGGTTTAATATTAGGCGGAGGGGATTGCAGAAGTCATCCATATTTGGCGGAGGGGATTGCAGAAGTCATCCACACATGAGGCCATCCTCCCGATGACGGCCCGGAACTACGTCGCGAACGTGGCCAGCATGGGGAGGAGATTATGGTGGTGGCTGCCTCAGGAGCCCAGTGCCAAGACTTGAGGGTTTATATAAGGCTTTGGAAGTTCAGGGTCAGGGATTTGAGGTTTAGGGTTTAGGGTTTAGGGTTTTGCCTAACACTTGCCCGCTGCAAAGAGGTATGGTCTAGGGTTTAGGGTTTGGCGTTTGGGGTTTGGGGTTTGGGGTTTAGGGTTTAGGGCCTAGGGTTTAATGTTGACTTCACATTAGGAATTCCTGCCGCAATTATAAAATCCAGCTGCCAGAACACAATAATGTAGCCCGCCACAATTATAAAATCCCGCCCGGAATATTTTTTTTTACGGGCGAATATAATTGACCTAATACTAAAACTAATAGTACGTCCTACCAGGATTTAGGCGAATTTAATTGAGGAGGCCCTGGCCGGAGAGATTGATCAATCAAGGGGGGGAGGGGGGGGGGGGATTTATTAATGCGAAGTCAACATTAGGGTTTTAAACCCTGGGGTGCAGGAACTCCAAAACAGACAGGCTACCTCTAAATCCTAGTCCTAGGCCCTCCGCCCCTCAACCGCGTGCTCAAACGAAGCCAAAGGTGCTTTGAGCCAGATCTTCGGGCTCGCGGCCGGCGTCGTTGGCGAAGGATTCAGCCCCAAACCTCGGTGAGTATCTTGGTAGCCCAGTAACCATATTATAATGAGGGCAACTTTTTGGGGTCTGCTACTTGACAAAGACCACAAGGGAACCCATAACCCAAAAAAAGGGAAAAGGGTACCACTGGGTAACCAAGTTATGGGCCTTGAGCATTGCAAGGCCTACTACTTACTACTGGTAGCTCAGCCACCATGTTGCCACAAGGGTACCATTTTGCGGGTTGGTGACCTTGCAATGGAGCCTAGAACCAAAGAAAGGGCAAAAGCGTACCACTGGGCTACCAAGACTTGCGGATAGGTTCCAGAAGCATTACGCTCATAGGACTCTACCTCGGACCCCTAAAAGATTGTACCGGGTTTGGGCCACCCGGGAACCTCTCAGGGGTATATCCTTAGGGGTACGAGTCTTACAAGTAGGGCCTTCCGTACTATACTAACTATAGTTAAAGGAATTCTCACCTATGTAGTAAGACTCATGTCCCGATTTAGGGCCCTTAAACCCTATTTAGAACGAGGGGGCCCCTACATGTAATCCCATGGTACACACTGTTCTTGGAGACTTCGAATGAGACACTCGAGGAAGAGCTGGATCAGCTGCTCGTGACCAACCTCAGCGAAGGTCTTGCCGTTCAATACGGGGTTTAGGGTTTAGGTTTAGGGAACCTTAAGCCCTAAAAGCGCTTTTGGAGCTCTAGGTTCTGGGGCTCTAGGGAAATCTCTGAGCTGTTGGAGCTAGAAGCTTGCTCGAAGGTCCATGGGTACAGCTACGAGTAGAGATAGTATAACTAAACTAGCCTACGATGTAACATGCGATCACCTGAAATAAATCACTTACGACGCATGAATCATGACCCTACTAACTTACAACTCCCACGAATCTTCAAGCAGGACAAAATGACATCGTTTCCTACCAGAGCCATGGGTTTCAAACTTTAGGCTGGGGAGCAGTTGTGTTGAATGCATGCTCTAGTCGTGGCTTAGGGTGGCTCTTTTTGGGTACTTCTAGATGGGTTGTGAGTGATAATTGTATGCCCATACAAGGGACAATGGCTTAGAGAAATGACCATTTGGCTCAGCTGAGGCTTCGAAGAACGCGTGTAGAGGAGGCTGAGTACCAATAAACCTCAAACCCTAAGCCCTAACTAGACACCCTAAACCCCTCTAGGGTCTTGAGGGGTTTCGTGCTGTTTCACTCTCTTGAGATGGTCCTGCAGCTCCCATCGCTCCCATCAGGAGCTTGCGACGATAGACGGTTTAGGGGTTAGGGCTTAGTGTCGGCCATTTCTTTTGGGAAAGTTGAGCGTGAGCTCCAGGCGCTGTTGGAGGAAATCCAAAGCAAGTAAGTTAGCCGAATCCGTAGCTAATGCCACGATCGTGGGTGAAGGCGCCCACATCCGGCAATTAGTGAGGGGGTACTCGCAGGTCCGTGGGTGGTGCCTCGGGGGTGTGTTCTTTTCTGTGTTCTGTTCTTTCACCTCGGCTATCCCCGTGCGATCTGCATTGGGTCAGTGCCTCCACTCCAATCGGGGAGGACAGCAGGCGACTGACTCTTATCATGTTCCCAGAGCAGAGTGCTCAGCTAGGCAGACTTTGACTCGTCCGCCATTCAGCTGCGTGAGTGAGTGAGTCTTTTGGGAAAGGGGGGGTGGTTCCCTCTAAGGATTAGAAACCCTAAGCCCTAAACCCTAAACCCTAAACCGGGTATGGGGGCACCCCCTTCTCTCGAACAAATGCCCGTCTGCAATACAGCTCGAGGTTTTGAGGGTCTCGGGCTGTAAGTTTTGCTGGCTTTCGAGGCTAGAGGCTGGAAGCTTCAGGGTTTAGGGTTTAGGGTGAGGGCTTTATGAGGGTTTAGGGCTTAGGGCTTAGGGCTTAGGGCTTTAAGGGTGTAGGGTGTAGGGTGTAGGGTTTAGGGTTTAGGGTTTAGATAGGTTTAGGGTTTAGGGTTTAGGGTTAGGGCTTCAAGGGTCTTAAGGGTTGAGGAGGTCGGCTTCCGGGCCCTTCCAGGAGAGGTTTCTTTGTAGTCTCCCGTTCACACCTACCCTTGAAGCTTCATATAAGCACCCGAAACCCTAACACCTAAACCCCGAAAGCCCCCCCTTAAATGGTAGCCCAGTCGTACCCCTTGACACTTTTTTTGGTTCTGGGTTCCCCCCCTCCTCTGCGAGACCCTATACCAATGCAACATGAAATTCTCAAATAGAATTCCCCATTCCAACTTGACATTTACACCTTTAAACCCTGAAACCCTGAACCCTTAACACTAAGCTTCCACACAACCTGATATGCCCCAACTAAATCGGCAAATGATGGGCGGGCGGCCAGGGTCGCGACGCCCAGGGGTGAGATGCCGGGAAAGTCAGCATACAAGCGCGTCATCATGTTGCCTCATTCAGAAAACAAAGCTGTCGGGGTGGTTCAGGGTGTAGGGTCGTAGGGAGCGATTTTAAGGCTTGCTGGGGCCTGGGGGTGTTCATCTTCGACTTGGCAGGGGTTGCTACACCGAATCCTGTAGAAAAGTCTGAAGATGATGCTCTGGGGAACATGCAATCCACGACAACTGCCAACTGTCCGAGCTGCAGTTTGAATATCCGAAGACCGCCGTTCGGAGGCGAGCTGTTCGGATCTTCCAAGTAAGGGCTCTTGGCGGCACGTAGGGCAAGTTCACATCAGCACGATGTGCCAAAAGCAGCTTGGCAGTCTCCACTGCTCTGCGATTGCCGCGCGAAAGCAATGCGACAGCATGCAGTGGGCTGGCATTCCCACCTAGGTCGGCCCCTAAAGCCCTCTGAAAAATATTCCTGGATATGATCCTCTTAAACCCAAATCAGGGAAAACTTAAAATGTCCCTAGCCACTGGCCGAAACTGGTGAAGCCCTGCCGGGGTCGCAGCGGTACGAGATAAGCGCTTGAACTGTATCCGGACAGGCGAAGGACGCAGCGCCACTCAAGATGTCCCGTGGCATCTCTGCACGATGTTCCATGAGTGTCTTCACATGCTCGGGTGTTCGGCAAAAGAATAGCACATGCAGGCCAGTTCTGGCGCGGGCATTGACATCAGCGCGAAGTTCGAGGAGTGTCGCGAGGACTGCAGCCTCCTGCCGCGACTTCGCTGCTGCCATCAGTGCCGTCTGCGTATCGAAGTACCCAAGACTGCTCATGCCTTCGAGGGCGTGGTTCATGTTTGCACGGCTCTCTGCCAGCAGTCGCAGAGTCTGGGCGTCGCCAGAAAAGACCGCGCACATGACCTTGCTTCTCTTGAGATGTGAAGTTGATGTGAAGCCTGTTTACACCATACTGTCACATGCATGCCTTGCCCTGCATTTTCCGTGTTTCGTGGACTAGTCCGCATTCATCAATACCGTTCAAAACCAACATGAACAGCAATTCTCACGCGCAGCTTCGTGGCTGCATTCATGCCGGTGTCGTCCTCCACGGCTTCTCTCAAGTTGGCAAACTGGAAGTGTCGCAGGAATTCGTCCAAGTGTCTCCATTTCCTCTGCCGACGAAGGAGGTTCGGGCATAGGGCTGCCCAAAAGCGGTAGTCGGACAAAGGGCCTTTCTCTTGCAAGTGCCGGATCTTACCTTCCACGGCCGCCTCACCCAGTCGGACGACCGCTGCGCGGTCGGCTTCAATGGTGAAATCCCCATCCACAATGCCTCAGACGAGTCATCCTGGATCGGAGAGCACTATGGAAAAGGCAGCAAGTCTCCTAACGCCCTCCGAGGTGCTTCTGTTCTGCCAGTCCAGTGGGAACATAAACTCGGCGTCCGTGGCAGAGTACACAACAATGACGGAGGTGTCGGACTTGCTTGACAGAAGTCGGCACCACAACTCAGCACGGCACCACCTTGGCCACAGTTGGCAGAAGACCCAACATGATACTTCTTTGTCAGCAGACCGACTGAAACCAGAAGCCCTGACCCGAAGACACGCTAGAGGTTAGCGTAATGATGCTACCTAGAACTACCCATGAAAATTCTCAAATATAACAATCCCAAAACCCCAGCCCCTAATCCCGAAGTAGACAATCCGAACCCCATAAACCCTAAACCCCTAAGCTCTTTCTCGTGAAGGCACCCTCGGGACATCCACGTGGCATAGTTCCTTGGCCAGTACAGACTACTTGAGACGGTCCAGGGCCCAGGAAAAGTAAAAATAGACTCAAAAACCCTAAATCCGAAACCCTGAACGCGAAACCCTAAACCCTAAACCCTAAACCCTAAGAGATATATCATACAAGCAACCGAAGGAAGGTTCTCATCAACTTGCAACATTGGGGAGTTAGTAAGAACCGTGCGCACAGTTCATGCGAAGACGAAGGGCTATGGGCTGCAGCGGCAACAGGTTGACCCTTGGGGTTCCTGATGCCTTGCTACTACCCTCACAGCATGCCTGGGTTCAGGGTTTTATGGTTTCGGGGGAGGGGGGGGGGGGGGGGTTTTTGAGTGAGTTGTGACCTACGTACTCGTTACTCGACATAGGGAAAAGCAAAAGCTTCCAGTGGACCTCAAATATCACGTGCTGAGCCGAATCTTTGTGAGGCAGCTGCGGCACCAATGCCAGGAAGAGATTGCAGAGCTCCACCTGAAGCATTTGGGGGCCAGTAGGGAAACCCTAAACCCTAAATCCCAAAACAGGAACCCTGAGCCCTTTGAGGTTGCTTTAGGGCTGAGTTTGAGGTTTCTTGGAAGGTTTGAGGATGTACGTAAGCGGACTTCCGGTGCCCCCAGGGCGCATAGGCCGGAATGCTCTGAACCGCCAGAGCCGCGTCGGTCTTCGTGGCCTCCTCATTGACTCCGGGCATCCGAGCTGTGATCTGAGGGATCGCGAACCTCAAGGGGGAGTCATACTCGGACCCTCGAGGATGTACTCCGAGGGAGGTTCCCTTCAATTGGTATACTCCGATGTTGGCCCGTGGATTCTCTTAGAAGATCTTTCAACAGGGGTCCTAGGAGAACCGTGTGGCAGGACAGCCGCCATATTGTGCTGAAGGTGCCCTTATTGGGGGATTGGTTACTTTCATAAGGGAACCCAGAACCCAAAAAGGGGCAAAAGGGGGCCCCACTGGGGCCGATTTGCCAAGGAGCCAGTCGAGGAAGAGGAACCCGTCGGCGATCTGTTGGCGAGTGCCAGGCGACAGGCGCTTCTCGTCGGGGCGAGAGGCGATGTCTTCTGTAACCTCCACTGTCCCGTCAATCACCCCACCTTGGTAGCCCGGTAGCCATCTTACAATAAGTACCCTTTTTGTTGGCTACTTTTTAAGGGAACCCAGAACCCAAAAACATGGAAAAAAGGGTACCACTGGGCTACCAAGCCACCAAGGGTCTCCCGCAGAACCTTCATCTGCTCACCGTGGGGGTCCGGATGCGCAGAGCTGAGCCACTGGTGCGAAACGAAGATCACGAACATGCCCGGCTGAAATTGGTGCAGCGCGCCCTTCTCCTGCAGTTTGCCGTGGGGCTCCGGCGGGCCGCGCATCTGCATGAAATCGGACACCTGCCCACTAGCAACTACGGCAAACCCTGCTACACCTCCCATGCAGGGGGATTGCACAAATCACATTCACCCCGGCCCTGCCGCCAATCCTACTTCGGAAATGGGTAGGAACGGCGAAGGCTACAAGCTCAAAGCTTATAGTACAGGGGCCGATTCAAGTCGAACGGGTCTTCAGGGCAGCTTTACATCGCCATGTCCTGAATGAAGGAGCTATAAGGAAGGAAGGTCTTTAATAATTATTGTGTTGCGTTTTTTCTGTTTTTTTTTTTTGGGGGGGGGGGGGGGGGGGGACGGTTTCGGCGAAGCGCCTTGACAGCCCACAAGGGGAAGTAGCAGTCATGCACGCTGGTCTGCGGGCCGTCGGTGGGCGGCTCACTCTGCGTGCACAGGGAGGCTCCCATGGCTTTCAGGCTGTTGGGTTTGGGCTTTTTGGGTTGTGGGGTCGAAGGTTCTAGGGTCTGGGCCAGGGTTCAAGGTTGGAGGGTTTTAGGGCTTTAGGGCTTGTAGGGGTTTATGGTTCTAGGGGTTGGGTTCTTAAGGGTTAGGGGCTAGCGTAGCGTTCCGGGTTGAGGGCTTCAGGGGCTCCCTGATCCCTGAACCCTAAGGGGTTGAGCTTGAATGGTTTTGGGGGCTGAGGGATGGTTCAGGTCGTGGGCTTCCGGGGCTTCAGGCCACCTGGAGTTGCCCAGCTAAAGCATAGAAACCCAGACGGCTAAGACTCACCATGCGTGCACGTATGTATGGCGCATATAGACAGTATATTGTCTAAATCAAATGCCACCAAAAACACTCAAGCATGCCAAGCAATAAGTGCCCTCAACCCAAATCCCTAAGCAGTTGTGCGCTCGTCTCCGTATCTTCTTCGGGCGCAGGGGTGGGGGGGGGGGGGGGGGGGGGGCTCCCCGCAACCATCATCTGGGGTCTGCCCCCCTTGATAGGTAGGGTTAGGGTTCGGGGGCTTGCATGTATATGTAGAATCTCGAGCCCCCTTGAGCGAATGTTGGGGTTCAGCTTGGGATTTGGGGGCTTCAGGGGTTCGGGGGTTTAGGGTTTCAGGGGGCTTCAGACTCCCTTCAGCACCTCGGCAGTCCCACTGAACCTAAACCCTAAACCCTAAACCCTAAACCCTAAACCCTAAAACCGCCTCAAAGCGTCTCTTGCCAGGCTGCCCAAAGCTTGCACAGGAGAACCGACACCAGGCCGATCCTTGGCGTCGTCTGACTTCGAGGCGAAACGAGGGGAGAAAAAAATAGAAGCCTAAGGCGTTCCCGTGGTAAGCTCAGAAAAACCACGTTGGCTAAGAACAGTACGTCAGGTTCTCCAGGGTTCGGGAGGGCACTAAACCCTAAACCCTAAACCCTAAACCCCACAAAATACTGAGAACTGCACCCCCAACATCGTTTGTTCTTGCAGGCTGGCAATTGTTAAGCCCTAAACTCCTAAACCCTAACCTTAGCTTCACACTTGACCCTAAACCCTAAACCCTAAACTACTTAAACCCCAAGTATATCGCATTTAGGTACATGGACCCTCTGGGTAAACCCTTCAAACCCCATGAGCCCTCAAAAGAAGCCCTACCATCCCCCAAAAATCACACCCCCTAAGCCCTAAACCTTAAATCCCTAAACCCTAAACCCTAAACCCTAAACCCTAAACCCTAAACCCTAAACCCAGGATTTAGGGCTTATAAGCCATAAAAGATCCGATCCAAACCTAAACCCTAAACAACCCCGAACCCCAAACCCCGAAACTCCCAACACCCCCAAAAACCCTAACCTTAAAGCTTTCAAGGTCCTTCTAGCCCTAAACCCTAAACCCTAAACCCTAAGCCCCATAAAAGGATCCCCGAAAGAACCTGCAGAGGCAGCGGCGACGCCCCGATGTCCACGGCGGCCACCTGCCGGGGCCAGCCGGTTTAGGGTTTAGGGTTTAGGGTTTAGGGTTTAGGGTTTAGGGTTTAGGGTTTAGGGTTTAGGGTTTAGGGTTTAGGGTTTAGGGTTTAGGGTTTAGGGTTTAGGGTTTAGGGTTTAGGGTTTAGGGTTTAGGGGTTTAGGGGTTTAGGGTTTAGGGTTTAGGGTTTAGGGTTTCAGCTGTGGCAGGAGCAAGCACGACGAGCATTTTTGCCGGGCGAAGTCTACAAGTTGCATTGTGACCAGCCGATGATATCTGTGGTTGCTGGAGAGCCGTGTCTGCAGAAGTGCATCTTTGATGCGGGAGACTCGGAGAGCAACAGCACACACAAACACAGCACGATCGGGATTTATACATACTCCGCAATCATGGCGAGGGCGTGAGAAGTTCCAACAATCGGGGAAGTCAAAGGTCTTTTGAAGCGCGAGAAGAAGCTTGTTACTTCAAGATCAGGAAAGTCAGCAGCAAGTTTACCCTCAAAGACCAAATTTGAACCCCACAAGGGTTTAGGATTTCATACACCTTACTAGGAATTACAGAAGTATCGGGCATATGACCCCAATTTAGGGTTCTTTTGGTCCTTAAGGATCCACTGAGTAAGTCAGAACTTCTCGAAACGGCATTGCCAAGGAGATCAAGGCCAGGTCCCATTGCCATGAGGGAAAAAAACTGGAAGCTGAGGAGGGGACCCCAGAGAGCCCCAACTGCCCCCGTTTAGGGTTTAGGGTTTAGGGTTTAGGGTTTAGGGTTTAGGGTTTAGGGTTTAGGGTTTAGGGTTTAGGGTTTAGGGTTTAGGGTTTAGGGTTTAGGGTTTAGGGTTTAGGGTTTAGGGTTTAGGGTTTAGGGAATAGACCGTAAGTCACTTAGGGAGCCCTATGAAACCATTTAAGGTATATTGCTTAATTGAGGGGCCCAATACCCCTTAATTAAGGAAGATACCGTGAATCATATAAGGATCCTTCTGATTTAAGGTATATGGCTTAACTCAGGGGTGTTGGGCTCTTTGGGGAACTCAAGATGAAGACAAGAAGAAGCTGAACGCAACGCCGACACCCGCCGCAAAGGCGCTGGCGGAAGACGAAACCGATGAAGTGGCCGTCGACGTGCTAGGGCAGGTGTCCTTCGTGATGCTGCACAGGCTGCTCCAGGCTTCAAATGCCTCGTCAGCAAGTAGCCTGGGTAGCCCATTAACCATATCTTAATCAGGGTAATTACCCCTGTCGTTGGTTACTTTACATAGGGGAACCTTGAACCAAGAAAAAGGGGTAAACGGTACCTCTGGGCTACCAAGCAGCATTCCACTGTCGCCCATTTGCTCGCAATCGCCCAGATTCTGGTACTTGAACTTCTCAGGGATCTGCGAGCACGGCACGGTCTTGGAGATGATCTGTCCGCCGACGCCCCATCCCTTCTCAAGCACCAGGGAGGATGTCATCTGAGGCACGTGCCCTTGCTGCTCCGTGCGCCAAGAATGTACGAAGCTCTTGAGCTGGTCCATGGTGGAGCTGCGGAACTTGAAGATGACAATGGCCATCGGGATCATGATGGTCTGGTTGTACACAGCGTTGAGCCCACAGTCCTGTAGGCGCGCTCCGCTGACTGTGCTCACCTCTTTGTTGTTGTCACACATGGCCCTGCGCAGAGTGGATCCGAGCGCGCAGCCAGACCACATGACATGTCCGCCCGCGGTCACGTGGCTTTTCATCCTCTTTGCCGCCAAGTCGGCAAAGTTGGGCGCCTCGTTGTTCGTGTTCTCGAACCACAAATTCACGTCCTCCAAGCTTACCGATGGCTCAGGCTGCCTCATCTGCGGCCCGGGCAGCGACTGCCAAGACCAGTAGCACAGCTCCGCGTCGCCCATGTCCGCGGACTTCTGCGCCAGCTCGTCAAGGAAGGGGTTGTAGTTTGGGGTCGTCTGCCAAGGGCTCGGAGCGCCAGGCCCGGCAGTCGACAGGCTGCTGCGGCTGTCCGCATACTCGTCCACGAGCCAGCCCGGGTAGGTGCTCAGCCGGCGACTGTCCACCTGGGTGTTTACGATATATTAGGGGGTACCGGTCCTTGTGTTAAAATTACTTTTGGGGGTCCTATATTCGGGGTCCCTTATCTTCGTAAGCCCCCACCTCTGGATGCCCGGCGGGCAGCGGACCATCACCTCCGAAGGGGCAGGCTGCGGCAAGCCGCAAGGCGCAGGAAGCTGCCAAGAGGTCGCGGACGCGCATCATTGCCACTGCGCTTCTATTTCAAGTGCCGACTCGAGCGACGGAGTCAAACGGCTTTTTATAGGCTACGCATGGCAAAGCTGCCGAAAGTATAGGTGCTGGTATGTGGGAGGGCGGAATGAGACGGTCATGCGGTTTTTGGGCGGGGATGGTCTTTCGAAGGTTACCTACCCAAAGCCCTGAAGTATTCGAACTGCCCATGAGAGCCCTTCGCAGAAGCTTGCCTGGTCAGACCTCATCATCTGAGTCACGCGACCCAGGCCATAGAGATCTTCTCCTGGGGGCTGCACTCGAAGGTTTACGGGTAGTCACTGGGACAAAAGAACAAAAAGGGCACCACTGGGCTACCGACGCTATAACCTGACTCGACCTCACTCCAACCCCTTCGGAGATGACCCAAACCTTCTTCAAAGGCGGGAGCCGGAAACTCCACGATATACCATACCCCTCTACCCCCAAACTCAAAAGACCCCAGACTAATTACACCTCAAAAGCGCCCCTAACTGAAAAGAACACTCACGTGCAGAGAAAGCTGCTGAGCTCGTCGAGCACTCGACCCACCGCCGGGCCCGCGCGCTTGAACTGGGCTGCGCCAGGGCTGTTGGGGTCCGGAGTCCCAGAAAACGGGGGTTTAGGGTTTAGGGTTTAGGGTTTAGGGTTTAGGGTTTAGGGTTTAGGGTTTAGGGTTTAGGGTTTAGCGCTTAGGGTTTAGGGCTTAGGGTTTAGGGTTTAGGGTTTAGAATTTCTGGGACCGTCGTCCCATGCGCTGCAGGAATGACATGAACCTCAAGGCTGAGAAGCAGGATGCGCCTTTCGTACCCGCTAAGTCCCTTCAAGAAGCCCCCCCCCCCCCAAAAAAAAAAAAAAAAAATTCTAGGGAATGAAATTGGGATGGTCCCCCCCTTTATACTAACAGTCCTTCATACGGATTCTTGTGCCCCCGAGTATAATACCCTAAACCCCAAACCCTAAACCCTAAACCCTGCTAAGGACTGTTCGTCATAAGGGGGAACATCCCAAGAACAAAACGACAAACGCAGCAGGCAGTCGGCACCAGGAGCTGCAACCACAACTGGGCTCTCGCACCTACTTACTGGCCCAAAACCCAAGGAAATAAAAGTTGAAACTTTCAGAAAAAAAACTACCTTATAAGAAGCCCAAAAGTTGAAAAGTTGGGTTTTGAGCCAGTAAGCCTATAGGATACAGTGCCTGTTGAGGTCAAGGTTGGCCCCCCCGCAGTGTTGGGGCTGGTTGAGACATGACACGAACGCTCATCCCAAAGTACTACCGGGGCCGACGTAACGGGCGTAACCACCTGAGGTACTCTACCACCGCTATCTTCCTTGTGGTTCTATGATCCTTCTGCGTAGATATAGTACTGACTATAACCAACACACCCGTTCGAATCAAACACTGCCTGTGTCATCCGAGATCTCTCTTTGCAAGCTAAAGCTTCAGCTCGAACCCCCACCCCCCTCCCCCCACAAAAACAAAAAAAAAAACAGAAAAACCAAAAACAAAAACTCTGACAGCCTGTGCTCCAGGGATTTAGGGTTTATAGGGTCTGCCCTTAAACCACGAACCACCATCGCGCTGCGATACCATATTCCAAATGCAATGCTTTTGCAAGAGCATCTAAGGAAAACCAGCCGGTGCTTCGCATGTAACGGGGCCGTGACCGCAGCGAACTCCAAGCGATGGCCCATCACCTGCATTGGCCCAACCCTGAACCTCAACCCGAAACCCTACACCCTAAACCCCAAATCCTTAACCCTAAGAGCTTCAAAGGTTTACTTAGGGTCGAAGGATTATGCTGTGGTTCTTGGGGACCAGGCCCTCCGACATGAGAGAGCCTTCCGCCTTCACTTCGACTACCACTCTGCACAAGCACCCAGGTGATACTGGATATTCAAAGCAGAAACAACACATGATACATATACATATACATATACACATAAATATACATATACATATACATATACATATACATATACATATACATATACATATACATATACATATACATATACATATACATATACATATACATATGTATATATATATATACACATACTTATATGATGGATAATATGTATTATATAATCCGCCGAGGCCTCGGGCCGAAGGTGTATAGGTTGTCAGAACAGGCACCCTCCAAATCCTCCCCCCATAGCCAAAACCAATTTTCGGACCCCTTTTTTTGCCTGAACTGGGTACCCGCGGACGGTTCCAGGCAGTTGAAGCCCGTCCCAGCAGGGTCCCCCTCCCCTCCCACCCCCTCCCCTCCCCCTCCCCCCCACACCCCCCCTACCCCCCCCCCTTCCCCTCCCCCCCCCCTCCCCCTCCCCCCCACACACCCCCCCTACCCCCCCCCCTTCCCCTCCCCCCCCCCCCCCCCCTCCCCCCCCCCCCCCCCCCTACTTCCAGCTGGAAGCGCAGCCAGCGCCGAGTCCGAGGTTGTGTGCACTGGCCTGGACACCTATGCGGATGCCGCGAACATGCGCCGGGCGCTGCGCTGGGCCAGGCCGAGGCGGGTCGCGTAGCGTTAAAATTAGAGTATACAATATACCATGTGACAGGCAAAACACATCATATGTTTTGCAACCTATTTAGTGCAAACTACATTATCTGTAAAACTATATATGATATTAGGGAACAGAGTAGACAGTTATTCAATACATAGCATCGGGTGAAAACCGTATAATATATGTATATATATATATATATATTCACAGGTGTAGACTGTAGATTTTAAATTGTTCCTGCTCATACACATACTATATATTTACACCTTAAGGGTTATGGACTACACACCTAACGTCATAGCATGCCCAGCATCAAGCGAAAATGGACCGAACCATGCTCTAGAGACCCCCAGACTGACCAGTGGAGCAATTTCTCGAAAGACTTTTAGGGTTTAGGGTTTAGGGTTTAGGGTTTAGGGTTTAGGGTTTAGGGTTTAGGGTTTAGGGTTTAGGGTTTAGGGTTTAGGGTTTAGGGTCTTCGAGGCTTTCAGACCCCATCCTCGAGGGCATTTGGAGGAGGTGTAGGATTCGGTCGGCTCCTAAAACTATGGTCCCTTTGCGAGTACCCTAAATAGAAGGGGCCGCCTTAGAATAGTCACCCCAGAAGGGATCATGAATTCGAGATGTGACCATCTGGGGCTTAAGGGACTTTAGGGCTTTAGGGTTTAGGGTTTAGGGCTTGGGGAACCACGCACCTTCAATCCCATGCTCCTAGGCCCAAAGCAGGCCCCTACACCCTAAACCCTAACCCTAAACCCTAAACCCTAAACCCTAAACCCTAAACCCTAAACTCGAAGAAACAAAAACCGGCCAACCCTTAAGGCCTACGGACTGAGGGAGTCTAAATCCCCCATAAACCCAAAAAGGCTAAGGATCTAAACTTACAGTAAAGCACCACAAAGCCCCCCCAGCCCTAAACCCCAAACCCTAAAGCCCAAACCCTAAACCCTAAACCCTAAACCCCAAACTCAAAACCCAGCCCCCCTACTTACTCCGGCGCTGGCCTCCTCAGAGATGCGGATCGTGGAGTTCAGCATCTCTGCCTTGCCCCAAGGGTTTAGGGTTTAGGGTTTGGGGTTTTGGGTTTAGGGTTTGGGGTTTAGGGTTTAGGGTTTGGGGTTTAGGGTTTGGGGTTTAGGGTTTAGGGTTTGGGGTTTAGGGTTTGGGGGTTTAGGCCTGTCCCAAAGTCCGAAGTCCCAGAGTTGGGGAACAGGATTCGGGTGCTCCAGGGCCTCGGGGGAGCTTTTGGCAGTTCTCTAGGATGGCCCTTGAAAACCTCGGTTTAGGGTTTAGGGTTTAGGGTTTAGGGTTTAGGGTTTAGGGTTTAGGGTTTAGGGTTTAGGGATATTCCTGAATATGATCCTCTTGAACCCAATAAGGCGAAATATAAAATATCCCCAGGGCCTACCTAGTTCTGATTCCTGCTGTTCGATGTTTGTGCTCAGCTCACAGGAAATCGGGGTTTAGGGCTTAGGGTTTGGGGTTCTGGGTTTAGGGTTTGGTGGGAAATTGGTGCCTTGTCCTTTTCTCGCGAGGGGAGGCGGTGGGTGCACGGACCATCAGTTTCGGCTTGTGGCGTGAACATGTCGCCTGGAACGACCGAGATGTCTGGCAGCAACCCTAAACCCACCCTGTTGCTGTTCGCTGTGATCACACCCAGGATTGCTGCGCACATCTTGGAACTCCCCATCAACTTCATCAGCATGCCCGTGCCGCCCCAAATCAGAACCCTAAGCCTTGAAGCCCTATTACCCTGAACCCCCCCTTAAACCCTACTCCCTCAACCCTAACCCCTGAAACAATAGGGTTTAGAATTTAGGGTTTACTATCCTGAACCCCCCCCCCCCCCCTAAACCCTACTCCCTCAACCCTAACCCTGAAACCTTAGGGTTTTAGGGTTTGGTTTAGGGGGTTAGGGGTCTAGGGTTTAAAGTTTAGGGTTTAGGGCTACCCGAAGCCCCAAATCCCTAAACCCTAAAGGGAAAAGGCCTCCCATGCCAGCTGCGGCTCACTGAAGGAGGGGTGCCGACACGAGGGCGAAGCCTGGCAGCAGGAAGACAGGGCTTTCGGGCTTTTTAGGGGTTTCGGGTGTTGAGGGGTCTTTTGGCTTGGGGTTTCTGAGGATATTTAGGGTTTAGGGTTTCGGGTTTAGGGTATTAAGGGTGGTATTTAAGGGATTTAGGGTGTTTTTATTCTTGGGATTCGGGGGGGATTTGGGTTGTTTTTCTGGGGTTGCCACAGCCCCTTTGCGGCACCGACAACAACTTGGACTCAGCTACCGTAGAGACCCCTACAGCATCCATCAAGTACATCAACGAGCATGCTGTTTTGGAAGATCCAGGGATTTAGGGCTGAAGGTGTTCATGCCCGTAGTCCGGTGATTCCATCGCCGGTAGAGCACAGACTCCACGTGAGACCGCAAAACCCTGGACCCCCCTTCAGAACCCTAAACCCTGTAGGCTTTTACGGCAGACAAAC